CAAGCGAATATCTGCTTAAAGAAAGTAATTCAGTGTGTTATAAATAAGTTTTTGATGGATCTGGTCAACTGAATCTCATTTGTTTTAAATGGAAAAGTGAATGATCGGAATGACTGTGTAGCTGTGGGTTCAAGAACTGCTTCTAGCTTAACTAGTTTATTTGTCTGTAATAATGTGGTTAAAACATGAAAAAATATACACTTTTCCTATAACTTAGATATGTTGACGAAACATTTCTTATCTTTAAACATAAAACCTGTGTTCAGCCTTTTTGAATTTTTTAAATATTCGGTATTCAAATATTAGGTTTACTTTGGAAGAACAAACAGGTTTTTTTTTTACCTTTTTGGAATCTAAGTATAAAAATGTGAGTAACTATTTTGTGTTTTTCTTACATAAAGTTACTTTTACCAGTTTCTTTTCGGTCATATTAGTAATCCGATTAGTTAGTACTTTGATACACTGTGCTTAAGACTATAGTATATTTTGTGAGTATCATAGATTTCGTTATAATGTATCATCCGCGAAACCAATTAACCCCTTACTTTCAAATAGTCCACACTAGCTCCACCTACCCCACATTTCTTTTACTCGTGTTGCTTTCTTAGCGCGAAGCTGCACGATGGACTATCTGCACTGTACCCATCGTAGGAATCGAACTCAGATTTTTAGCGTTATAAGCTCTAAGTTTACAGCTGAACCATTGGGCCCATGTTTATAGCCCTGTACAATATTTAAGTTGTCAAAATTTATTCAAATCTTAAAAGCAAACGTTTAAAATTTTGTAACATGAGCTTTTTCTTTTGTTGGTTACAAGATTAAGGTGGTTTATTTTTAACTAATTAAGAGCCAATATTTCCCACTCGAGGAGGCACCTCATACACCACTAGCTTGACTATCACCTAAAAATCGAAAGATGAACATCAACGACTCCACAAAGTTCCGTTAAGTTTTTTATTTCATTTTTAAATAACTATTGATTAACATAACTTAAACAATTATTTTTTTGTGAATATTTATTAACATTTAACTCCTTTTAAGGTAGCAACGACTTGTTATGAAAACATTTATCATGAAAAAAGTTTGTTGTCAATTCCTATAAAAGCCACGCAAGGTATAAACTCACATCTTGACCTATACAGCCTCTTTATTTGTAGTTCTTATCATAGGTAGAGGAAGAACGATTAGATGTCGCTTCAGTAAACATGGCTCTGTTTGTGCAGCAGTTTAGTTAGCTTGTTTTTCCATGATACCATTATGAACGCCATATGGCTCTTGAATAGCATTAGTGTGTGTACTGGCGTAAACTTGACTCTTTCTAACACACCAAATCTTCAATCATCTAATCTAAGGAAAGTTTATATGTAATTGTTTTTATTTCTTTTTTAATTTGGCTTTAATTTCCCAAAAAAAGTTAATAACGTCCAAGCAAGGAGATTAGAATTCTGTATTAAGAAAAAAAAACACACAGAAAATTACGCTTTATTTCATAAAATAAAATAAATTCGTATGGAAGTAATGGAAATGGAATAATTATTGAAATTAATTCCAGAAAAGTGTTGTGAAGTGAACTTGTTTTTTTATCAAAGTGCTTTAATGGGTAATAATCATATCTATCCTTACTTACTTAATTTTCATATTTTCTATAGTTGAAATATATAACAAATTAAAATATGAATTTAATTAAACTAGAAACAAACACTTCCACTTTTACTTAATATAATAAACTGGTTAGAAACAAGTTTATGTAGACAATGCTTATAATGTTATCGCGAAACTTCGGTAATATGTACTCATTTTTGGTCTCTGCATAGCCAATGGAGTTAACACCATGCTAGAGACTGTTAACAAACAAAAAAGACTTTTTGTGCGTCTGACTCAAACTTTCTTTGATGTAATACGAAAAATAAGACCATACTTTAACAGTGAGTAAGATCCCTAGAACATCCATTGCATTATATCAGATAAGGATCATGCCCCACCTTGATGATTTTTGAAAATGCTGGTAAATATACAGGAGAAAGTAGTTTTACAGGGGTATGTACGTTAGTGTATCTTTCACGTTGAGTTTCAGCTGTGCTGTGGTTTTACCTTAACGAATATTTAAACATTTATCTAGAGATAAATACTAAGATACATATTAAAAAGAAAATGTACAATAACTAAGTACCAAATTTGTCTGAATTTAAGATACTTTATGAATGTTTTTGATATCAAATATGTTCAAACTGATTAACCACATTAATACAAATGGCTGTAGATTTCTAAATATAAAAAAAACAAAAAAAAACGAAGTAAAATATATGTAAAATTAAAGCTAAATTTGTTCAAAAAATATCTATTATAGTAAAAGAAATCCTGAAAGTTAGAATATTACTTATAGCATCGTGTAGCACAGCATTAAGTTTAAACATGTCTTCCATTTTCTGAATTGTTTTCACATTTGTTTGCTTGTTTGTTTTGAATTTTCGCGCAAAGCCACACGAGGGCTATCTGCGCTAGCCGCTCCTAATTTAGCAGTATAAGACTAGAGGGAAGGCAGATAGTCATCACCACCCACCGCCAACTCTTGGGCTACTCTTTTTACCAACGAATAGTGGGATTGACCGTCACATTATAACGTCCCCACGGCTGAAAGGGCGAGCATGTTTGGTGTGACGCGGATTCGAACCCGCGACCCTCAGATTGCGAGTCGAGCGCCATAACCATCTGGCGATGCCAGGCCCATTTGTTTGCAAATAACACAGTGTGTTAATAATGTAAAGAAGATTTATAAGTACCAATTTTCACAAATGAAAAAAATTGTCATTCCACAAAATATACAAAATTATCTCAAGCATGAAGTTAAAAACGGCATAAAGGTTTAACGACATCGGATCATGTTTGTTAAATATGTTTCTTAAAATTTAACAAGAGAACAGAGCTAAGCCTAAGCACAGAACAACTTAACTAAAATATCGTTAAAACGTTAAGTCTAAACACTGAGTAACTGAACTAGATATAAATAATTATATTATCTTTTTTTTGCATGCTAAGAATTTTCATTTCAGCTAGTAACTATTTTATAGATGTAATATCACTTTCTGGGGCTTTTAATTACAATTTTTATGGTTTTTGACTCGTAATATAAATACGATCAACAGGTTCACTGTGAATCATAATCATAAAAATGATTTTTTAGAGAAGCTAATTTCTTCCTCAAATCCAATTTCGGAATGTTCATCAAATTTTGGCCCTGATGTAAGCATTAATATATCTCTGTGACTGCGATTCGTTGAACATGAATGAGGAATGTCTTGCTTTTCATCTTGAAAAGCTCTATCCGGGAAGTACGTAACCTTAGTGGATGTGGAAGTCATATCTTTGTTGTTAAGCGGAGAGACAGATTCAGCACAAGAGTATGATTGGGGACTATTACTGCTTGATGGAAAGGGAATTTTGTTTTCAATAGGACATGTTTGTGGAGTCGAGTACAATTGGTATAAGGGAAAGTTATTCGAAACCGCGCTATCGCCAAGAGCCGATGCAGCTAAAGAACCATGAAGAAGGAGAATTGGGTTGATGTTTGGAAACATATCAGGCATTAACGTGCGTGGATTTAGCTGTAAATTATTAGCTATAAGATTAGTAGTCGCTTGAGAGAGACCTTTGGATAAAGTTTGGGCAAACGTCACCACGTCCATTTCGCGCTCAGCTCGAAGGATCTCGGACAAAATGACGATGTAATTTCTTGCCATTCGGAGAGTTTCAATCTTAGATAATTTTTGTGTTTTGGAATGAACTGGTAAGCATTTTCTCAGTGTGTCCAACGCGCCATTTAAACCATGCATGCGGTTCCTTTCTCGTGCATTCGCCTTGTGGCGCCTTATTCGAAGTTTTGACGTCTTCGTTTTTGCAATGACATTCTTTGACATTCTAGACCGTGTAGGAAGGGTACCTTTGGCTATCTTTTTGGAATGAATCTCTTCGCAACTAACTGGCGAAGAATTTCTTGAGGTTCCACAGTTGACATCCCCAGTTGTGGAATCCGCCATATTGCCATCAGTTGATATATTCCAATCGGAACTTGACAGATAATCTCTGCTTAGCATGTTAAGGCTTCGATATGCTACAAAAAAAAAAGAAAGAAAAAGTATATGTACTCTGCCGTGTAAAGGAGTGCATTATATAAGGTATACGAGAGTAAGAGACGTGCATACTCTTATAGCAAGCCAAAGTGTTATATAAACGTTTGAATTAGATTCACTGGCTGGCTTACTTTAGATTTAAACCGGTTTATTTATGATACGCACATATTTTCTTAGCATTACTGACATACCTTGAAACGTTTCACTTCCTAACCACTAGATAAATTTTACCCAATCAATAATAGTGCCAATTATTACTAACTTCCCAAACTCCTTTCCGAAAGGTAAATCAGTAATTTATCAGATGAACGACTTACTTCTATTGCATATAAACTGAGTAAAATATACCTATAAAAGCAACTTCGAACGCGTGTTTAGTGTGATGTATTGAATTGTCAGAAAGGTGACCCCACTTAACTCTTTGGTTCAGGAGTTTTCACTTAACATTTTGGGCTCTCTGAAAGTTTGTGCACGTGATTTATCACACTATGCTCTAATGTGTATGTGTGTATTCTATAGTCATATATCTGTAGTGTCCAACTATTTGTGTACACAGAACCAATAGATTTAACTTAAGCCTAAAAAAATCGCAAAGGTGGATAAAGAGAGCAGCACATGGAGGTCAGGGTTGTTGTTGTTTATTATTAAGCACAAAGCTACACAATGAGCTATCTGTGTTTTTGCCCACCACAAGTATCGAAACCCGGTTTCTAGCAGTATAAGTCTGCTGTGCCACTTGGGGAGGAGGAGGTCAGGGCCTCCTTTTTATAGCACAAAAACGACAAGTATAGAAACTTCGATATTCAGTTTGTGAAGATCTAAAATAAGTAATATTTATTCTATACCATTACTGAAAATATGAGTTGTATATCTCTTACTATTAATATCAAAACAAGAAAGATATATATATATATTATTGATTAACACATTCTTAACACATTTTCCAAAATGTGGGGGCGCAGATTATATCTTGGGGAGAAGCGAGAACGATTAGGGTAGAGTTAATAGTGCAATAATGCAAAATTAAGTTTTATTTTATTTCTATTAATGAAAACAATAAGTAATTTCTACAACACATATTTTAATTATATCCCTGTAATATATTTCGTCACTTAACTCACTCTTTTACTCATTTAAAAAAAAAAAGAGGGGGCGTGCGCAAGAAACCAATATTTATTAAAAGGGGATGTGGATGACAAAAGTGTGGGAAAAGCTGTTTTATGGAACTACATGTGTCATTACAATAAGTTTTATGTTTCATTACGCTTAATATTCTAGTTACAGATCGGGATCTAAATTTTCGAAAATCCTGTATCCGTCTATGGATTGGTTTGCCAGAAACAGTGATCTGTATCTTTTGTTGGCTGACCTAAACTCCGGCCATATGTGACTGAAATAACTGTTTTATCCCCATTAATTTGTGTGAGTGCTGAAAAGATTAACCTGGATAATATGCGTGGGATGAAGAGTCCTGGTTTAGGAAGATAATTGGTTTATGTGGATTTACTAAAAAAAATAAAAAATCCACGTATCTGTTTTCACGTGCAACTATCACGCGCTAATGTTGTGAAACATTCTTGCCGAACTTAGATCACTTGATTCAGATGTATCATTCTAGAGTTCCTATTAAGTAGAAACGGTATCATTATAATAAACTTTATATGTGAGTTCAGTAGATACATTTATCTTAATGCGTCAGTGATAGTTTACATAAAACTGGTCCACTTATCCACATGTTCAAATATATTCAATTAAACAAGTAAATGTTGAGAAAAACGTTAGATGTATGTAGATATACGGATAAGGTATGCATAAGTAGGATATAAATAAACATATGTATGTCAAGTCATTTCATCCAAAGCTACACAAACATAGGGGCTTGCAGACATACACATGACTTGTGTTTTATAAACAATTTCCAGATGTCTTGTGTTCTCTTAGCTCTCTGAATGTTGATTGTATGCATTTGTAACCGATTTCTAGGTATATCTCAATACAAGTTATGATTGCTAAATTGCAAACTGTTAGTCTCTTACCTGTCTGATTCTAGACGACTGGAAAAGTAGTGTTGATGGATTCAATACTAAGATTTATGGCTGTCTACGTTGCTGGTTAGAAACACTCACGAAGCCATATCCCTTTCCTCTAACTTATCATAAGCAATTAGATTTTTATCAGGGTTTGGCTGCGAGAACCAATCAGCTTTTCGATAGATAATCAACTATCAGGAAAAGCGTATAGGAAGTTGTTATAATGATTTTACTGCAATTAAACAGCGTTCGCTTACTTTTAACAAATGGAAAACAAAACAAATAAAAAAAGAGTAAAAAAGATTACTTAATTAGCGAAGAAAGCAGCAGTGCTTCCACCTGAGAGTTTAATTATATTTATTATTCTTGTATATTTCGATTAATTGCAAAGCCGCAAAAGTTTGAGGAAATCCATCGAAGTTCTTGGGTGACATATTAAATGAATGTAGTTTATGTTAAAATTAACCTCGACCCGCAAAACGTTTACGATAATTTTTTGCTCTTCGCTTGAATTTCCCTTATTCTATCAGTTTCACATACGGAATTTAAGCTACGTTTTCTTGCATGCAAATTCACGTAGAATAGTGTTAGAAAACAACAAATACCTTATCCTATATTTAAACCGATTAATAAGGTAAAGCAAACTTTAACTTGGTAATAATAAAGATAACATACAGTTAATGGAAAAAAACAGGAATCTATAAAATTGAATGTCAATGTGGAAATATTTATATTGGACAGACTAAACGTAATTTAAAATATCGTTTCATGGAGCATAAAAGATATGTAAGAAATAAAAAAAATTATAATTCAGCCGTAGCAGAACATGTACACAAAACACAACATACGGTATTGTGGGAAAAAACTGTAATATTAGCTCAACTAAAAGGTATTATAGCTCATAGTTCCGTCATCTCTTGACCGATTTGAGATCAAATTACAGTTTTGGACTAGGAGGTCAAACCCTTTCGATTGATGTAATTGACCATGCCTGAGGTCTTATAGATTAATTAACTCTAATCATGCCTAAAAAAATTTCATGTGCCGCGTCTATTGAGGATTCCCTCTTGTCTGATGACGGAACTATGAGCTAAAAGATTGTACTTGAAAAACTCAGAGAAGACCATTCCGTGTAAGTAAAAGCCAGTACAACACACATTCTGATTTTGTGACAATAAAGGTTGTTAATTTTGTATCCAATCTCATTATTCCGTTTAACATCACGTATCACTTAATAAGATATTTATTACCACTTTACGAGCGATGTACTGATCGAATCTTGTTTGTTTGTTTGTTTTGGAATTTCGCGCAAAGCTACACGAGGGCTATCTGCGCTAGCCGTCCCTAATTTAGCAGTGTAAGACTAGAGGGAAGGCAGCTAGTCATCACCACCCACCGCCAACTCTTGGGCTACTCTTTTACCAACGAATAGTGGAATTGACCGTCACATTATAACGCCCCCACGGCTGAAAGGGCGATCATGTTTGGTGGTATGCGGATTCGAACCCGCGACCCTCAGATTGTGAGTCGAGCGCCTTATCCACCTGGCCATGCCAGGCACTTTTGTAACTGAGCAGCAAAGCAAGCTTTTCAAATGTATTTCTTACGCACGTACCTAAATTCTGAAAGTAATATTCATAGAACATCCTTAAAAAACTGCACCATAACGTGTTAGTATAACAGATTAGGAAAGTCTAAAGCCTAATATTGATCAGCAGTCGATAACGTGCTTAACGCTTAACCTCAGGCGCTTACAATTAAATACTAGAAATTGTTTGTTTGTTTGTTTCTGAATTCCGCGCAAAGCTACACGAGGGCTTTCTGCGCTAGCCGTCCATAATTTAGCAGTATAAGATTAGAGAGAAGGCAGTTAGTCATCACCACCCACCGCCAATTCTTGGGCTACTCTTTTAACCAACGAATAGTGGGATTGACCATTACATTATAACACCCCCACGGCTGAAAGGGCGAGCATGTTTGGGTGGGACGGGATTCGAACCCGCGACCCTCAGATTGCGAGTCGAGCGCCCTAATCACCTGGCCATGCCGGGCCAATACTAGAAATACGAATAAGGAATCTCGATTTGAGTGTCTAATGTCATTGGAAGTACGGATAGTGAATCCTGATTTGATTGTCTCCTGTCATCTAAGTATTAGACTGTAGAGAGTTAAATCAGAATTCCTTTGACATATATTTCTACTAACTTTTATATATTTCAGGTTGTAACTACAATTGCTTGCGGCCTAACGGTTTTCAGATACAGGTATTAAATTAGAAATAGTATAAAACGATTTTCTAAAAGTTTGATAGAAGCAAAGTAACTGTTAAGATTCTTGTTAATATGAAAGTTACAATGACAGCTTTAACTCTTAAATAAAATGGCCAATTCAAAGTCCATTGTAAATATAAACCCGTGAGCTACGTGCTATTGTTAAATGTAAGCTTTCCAAGGTGGTGACAGAGTTGGTACTAGGTGTAATTTTACGGACTGCACTATGGTAGTCTTCTAGAAAGAAGTGTAAGCTGCATGAACGCACTGTGTTGATCACAGCTTTCTTATTTTTGGTTTCACTTTCTATTCTTCTCTTAATCTTTTACGTCTTAGAAATCACTAAAGACTATTGAATTCAACCTTTTAAGGCTTGTTTCGGCACACAATAGTTTTTATCGCTCTTATATCTTCCCGCAAAATACGTAAACTAAAACCAACTTTTAACGAATTGCTTCAGAGTGAACGACCCGAATACTTCTCATTGCAGTTTGTTAGTTCAGTTGATAGGCGGTTGAAGCACGCCATTTGTATTACATGTCTTCCAAACAAGGACAGGAGATTAATTGTACAGTCCTGTTTGATGTCAAGAATTGTTTAAAGTTCTATATAATATCGCGTACTATCCCATTCTACACTGTGCGATACGATTATTTAATCATTTATCAAGTCAGA